AAAAGAGGGGCTAGTAGGAAATGCCAGAGAAAAAACGGAAGTCCAACAATACGATGTCGATATCGGCGTCGAGTTGGTGTTCCTGTTGGTAGAGGAGGTGGAAGTGTGATACCATTTCGTAAAAAAAAATTGAAATTGTAGTGGAGAGAAAGGTGAAGGCTTATCCATCTTTTGAATCGAGTTGGGATTGCAACAGCAGACTTATCGTCAAGTTTGGACAATATACACAGAAATATATCATCATGTAGTGAACTTATGTGAGTATAAATACATTTTGAACCATGAGATTTAGGTGCTTCGATCTCGAATCCTACAATAATTAAAATATGCACGGGCCATTAGTTTCAGAAAAGAAAAGAGGGGCTAGTAGGAAATGCCGGAGAAAAAAAGGAAAGTCAAACAATACGTAGTCGAAGTCGGCGTCGACGTTGGTGTTCCTATTGGTGGAGGAGGTGGAAGTGTGATACCATTTCGTAAAAAAAAATTGAAATTGTAGTGGAGAGAAAGGTGAAGGCTTATCCTTCTCCTGAATCGAGTGGAGATTGCAACAGCAGAATTATCGTCAAGTTTGGACAATATACACAAAAATATATCATCATGTTGTGAACTTATGTGAGTATAAATACATTTTGAACCATGAGATTTGGGTGCTTCGATCTCAAATCCTACAATAATTAACATATACACAGGCCATTATTTTTAGAAAAGAAAACAAGGGCTACTAGAAATGTCAGGAAAAAAAACGAAAGTGTAACAATACAAAGTCGATGTCGGCGTCGGGGCCAACGTTGGCATTGGCGTTCCTGTCGGTGGAGGAGGTGGAAGTGTGATACCATTTCGTAAAAAAAATAAATTGAAATTGTAGTGGGGAGAAAGATGAAAAAGCTTATCCATCTCCTAAATCAAGTGGAGATTGCAACAGCAGACTTATAGTCAAGTTTTGACAATATAAACAGAAAGATATCATCATGTAGTGAACTTTTGTGAGTAGATATACATTTTGAACCATGAGATTTGGGTGCTTTGATCTCGAATCCTACAATATTTAAAATATGCACGGGCCATTAGTTTCAGAAAAGAAAAGAGGGGCTAGTAGGAAATGCCGGAGAAAAAATGAAAGTCCAACAATACGAAGTTGATGTCGGCGTCGACGTTGGTGTTCCTGTTGGTAGAGGAGGTGGAAGTGTGATACTATTTCGTAAAAAAAAAATTGAAATTGTAGTGGAGAGAAAGGTGAAGGCTTATCCATCTCTTGAATCGAGTGGAGATTGCAACAGCAAACTTATCGTCAAGTTTTAAAAAATTGAAATTGATTTGAACTTAAGAGTTGTTTAAAAAAAAAATGAATTTAAAACACATAACAAAAAAACTGAACATAACTCTTTCAAAACTAATCCATGACAACTCTATGTGGAAAACTCAAATAAGTTTGGTTATTGAAGGCCAAGACATACGAGGCTTCCTGGATGGAAGCTATCCAAAACCACTTGAAATAGCTGTCAAAGCAATTGCAGAAACTGATGGATCAGTAATAGAGGAGTCTAGCATAAGGATATATTATTGAATTTTAATTTTCTAGTTTGATGCTTCTTTCTATCCCTCCATGTGCTCTATTTATTCTTGGGCTTATTGTTAGCAGGGTAATTTTTTTCTTTTTCTAGATGGATTTCTGTATAAATTCATAAACCCTTAAGCAAATTCTAAAGTCTTTTCAATTCGAAGCTGTAGCTGCTGTTAACTTAGTTGATGAAGAAAGGCCTTTTCAAACCTCTAAATTGATCAAAATTTTGTCAATAGGTATGGTTCAACTGACAATTTTTTAACGAAGAATGCTCAAGGGACCTTGTTCTACATTTTACTTTAAAGGTTTAGGATTGCGGTGCCAAGAATGAAAGGTTTGGGACCCTCTACAACATTTTTTTTTTTTTGAAAGATTTGGTATCCTTGGTACTATTTATCCTTATTTTAATGAACAATGTTATTTGTGACCGTCAATCGTCCATGTGGAAATGAGCTAGTCACTATCGAAACTTGAAAGTAGAATAGTTATTTTTAGTCGCAATTGAAGATTAAAGTCCTTCCCTTCGTCCCAATATTTTTTCCATGCTAGTTATTCAAGATCTCCGAGTGATTTAGGAATCAAGATTGGAATCCTCAGGTAGGTTAATTTTATTTAGCTTATCACCATCTTTGATAAAGAAATCTCCATTTTTGCTTCCCCAACCAGAGTTTTCACTTTGTAGTGTAACTTAAATCATTGTATGGCCCCTATTTTTAAAATTCATTTACAACCATATATTTCATGGGATCCACAACTTTTATTAAAATTTTAATCACATATTTCATCAACTTTTATCACAATTTACTAAAAATTTAATTTTTAGCAAAATCAAATATGGGCTTAATTTAAAATGTATGATTAAAAATGAGTTTGAAAAAAAATAGAGTTTTGTTTCAATTGTTGTCAAAAAGTGTCAAAATCCTGTCAAAGTCAAAATGTAAAATTGCTACATAATTGGGTCAAAATCCTGTCAAAGACAAACAACTACCTATTATGCAAAAAACCTTAGCACATGTTTGACCCCCATTATTTCACATTACAATGAGTGTTGTGGCATGATTCAAATTCCATGTGATTTGGTATTTGGTTGATTGGAGGAAGTCTAAGATACTTGGGTTTGTAGAGTTCTAAGTTGTGGAGATCAAATTTCAATGATAATTAGGAGTTTGGTTTGAAGAATGACTCTTGGATGGCTAAAGGCATGTTTTGTCATGAATTTTATCAATTGTTTATTCTATAGTACTATCATCTACGACAATGACGGAATCAATGATCTTTTGAGATTGGAGAACATAGATAAATAATCCCAATGGTATGGTGAAGGTAATTGTTGGTAAATTCAATGATGTGAGAATATATATAAAAATATAGTTGAAAAGACGTAAATATCTTAGGTTGGAAGACCATTCAATGATGGATAAGGCTACTTAGTGAGAAGGATTTAACAGAAAACTTGACATAATTGCACGTGACAGTGGATGATAAGATGAAAAAATTGATCGTGTTTTAAACTGTCCAATGATAGTCAAGAAACTGATTAGACAAATATCACATCATAACTATAATTGGTCTCCTTTAGGAAAAAAAAAATGAAGGAAAAATTATATGTGTGGAATCCATAACCTTGAATTCTAAGCACCGTTATCCTCCACCTTAATTTATAATATAATGATATATAATTAGTAATGATTTTAACAATAACATAATTACAATAGACGTAATAATAATACGGGTTTCAATATTAACACGCGTAAATACATCTTTATAATATTTTTAATCAAGGTATTAATAAAAATATAATTTAAGATACTTTGGAAAACATTATGAATTAGCTCATGTCTCTGAAATTGGATTTGTAATATCCTAAAAATGACGTCACTATCGCACAATATTTTGATGATTCCGATAAAAATATTTTGCTTACTTGTTTTAAATGACAAAAAAATGTATTTTATTTTTTTGAAAAAATATGATGAGCAAATAAGTCATTTTACGCCTCACCAAAGACCTCTTCGATGAATCAGAGACATGATGTGCAAATTAATGGAATGTTGAAGATAAAAATGCAATGTAAAAAGTTGGTGACTTAAATGTTATAATGAGCAAAAATTGAGAACCTAATAAATAACTACATCATGGTGTAACAAATAAAAATTATGATGCAAATATAAATAAACTTCTGTTAATTACCTCAAAAAGTTACCATTTTTTTCTCACCTAAAAATGAGCTTGACACACAAAAACTCTAACACTAATGTTATCTAGCATCAATGATTTTAAATATCGTTATTCAATCCATAAATATAATTGCTCCACAAAGATAACAGTGATTACAACTTTCTCATAATTCATGCCAAATTGTCGTAGTACGTAATTGCACACAGTCAATGGCATGGCAAAAGTTCATGTGGTACATATAGAAAGGGTTATTAGCACAAAATGTCTCTACGTTGACATTCATTGTGAAAAACGTCATCACGTCTCATTTTTTTGCATTTTCACCCATATTTTCACTTTTCATTATGAAAAACGTCCTTCTGTCCATCTGCTGTGAGTTCCACCATTAAATGCACACTTGTACTCCTTTATATCCCTATCCCTACTATATAATAAGAGTGAATCCCCCTTTCACTGTTCACATTTTCGTCCAAAACGACGTAGTTTTGGTTTTGCATTTTTTCCCCCTTTTCAGTCGAGGCAGTCATTTCTTGTCTGACATTCTCCATTTTTCCAAACGACATCCCATGCGTCGTCCCTTCATTCTCCACGCAACCACACAGAATCAAACCTCCATTTTCCCTCTGGAAATAGGTGTGTTCATACTGTGTATACGCCGTTTTCATGGATTTTGCGCCTTCTCTCGCTTCCTTTCATTTCTCTTCGTTTGCTTTTCGCTCTCTCCCGCCCTCATTTTTTCTCATTTTCTTTTCGCTCTCTCTGTCTCGTGAACCCTCGTCGGCTACAACATCAAGGAGGCGCGCGAGAACAAATTGATACTGTCACCGCCACCACCTCGGCCGGGAAGGTAAGTTTTGCTAACAACATTTACCGGCCTCACGCACGGAGCAACGGAGGCACGGTCCGTGTCTCCGTCTGTTTGAATTTGTTATTTTTATTTATTTTTATTTTTTTTTGTAGGCTTCCTTTTGTTTATATCCCCAAACGGCCAAACCCTCATCTATTAGGCGAGCCATGGTTGCAATCCCAATTTCTTCAATTGCCATAGTATCGGTTTTTGGTCAACAAATTCCGACTTAATCTACTACAGATTTTGCGTTCTTTTTCAAACCGTCTTCAAGGTATGCCCATCAATCTTATTTATTTTTTGATTCTTTTCTTTATGTTTGAACTTGGGCATTAATTTCCTGGAAAGTTGCTCTACCCATAAACTGAAATCAGAAATACATCACAAAATACTCAATATTCAATCAGTAGTGCGATGGAAGAGATTACGAAAGGAGTGAGCAAGATGGAGATTGTGGAATCTCTGGAGAAGAATCGAATTCAAGTTTACAATACTGAGAAGCCCCTTTTCTTCTACGTTAATCTCGCCAAGGTTTTATTTATTTATTCGGTTGATTTATATTAATTTTATGGTATTTCTCTGGAGAAGAATCGAATTCAAGTTTACAATACTGAGAAGCCCCTTTTCTTCTACGTTAATCTCGCCAAGGTGTTATTTATTTATTCGGGTGATTTATATTAATTTTATGGTATTCAATTTTGTCTTTGTCTTCTGAGTTTAGTAATCTGATTTTTACCGTATTCCCACTGTAGAGATACATGCAGCCATACAATGAGGTTGAGCTTTCAGTACTTGGAATGGGTAATTGTTATTTGTTTGATTCTTTGTTTATAGTTCATATATTTTCTGATTTGAAGTTCTGATAATTTCCAGAGTCATGCCTCTAATATTTAATCATCTTTATGAGAAATTTATTTGTTGTTAAATTTCTATATGCTTTCTGATAAATAACGGATCCACCCTTACTTTTTACTTTAGCCCCATTTCATACAATTCGACCACCATTAATTCACTTTCATCCTTCTAAGCCAATCATCCGAAATATACTGTTTTTTTTCAATTGTGGAAGAAATTTTCCGCACTCAATTTTAGGTAAGTTACTCTGTCTTGCTGGTTGATATTTTCGTGATATGTATATTATGTAACCCCAGTTGATTGACTTATGTGTATGGCTTGTATTTATGACTAGAGTTTATGGATCTAGGTTTTAATTTTGTTTTCAAGATTGGTTATTGGGTAGGGAGAAGGAGGAATTTAATTGGTGTTGTTTGTGGGGTGTAAGGATGTCGACACCGGCGAGGAAGCGATTGATGAGAGATTACAAGCGGTTGCAGCAGGATCCTCCGATTGGCATCAGTGGCACACCTTGTGATAATAACATTATGACATGGAATGCTGTTATATTTGGGTATATGCCTGCGGTTTTTTATTTTGATTGCCACTGGTGATGGTTGAAGTTTTGATTTTTACTGGTTGCCTCTTTTTTTTTTTTAATTGCAGCCCAGGTGACAGTCCTTGGGATGGAGGTGAGAATATTCTTGCACGAGAAAATACATTTCTGCGATTGTTAGTTCGTTATGAGGATTTTTTTCTTTATATATACTTCACGTTGTCATTGTTATATTGTCAATCTTGAAGTCGTCTGCAATACTAATCCCCATGTCTAAGCTAATTCCCCCTCAAAACAAGTATTTCCTTGCTCATTTTTACTTTTTTTTTTAGCAAATTCTTTAGATGGGCTTTTTAATTTACAAATATTTTATTTTGTGGATGTTTTATGCTTTTCTATACATTTCTTGATATGGGTTTTCTTATTTATATTTTTTTTGTGGATTTGTTGTCTTAGGGAGGATTGAAGAATAGGAGGGCGAACCATTTGCAACAGGGGCAGGAGTTTAATTGCAAGCCATCGAAGAACCGGTTTGTGGTGAAGGGTGCAGCTAAGGAAATTGCTTTTGACCAGAAATCCCGGCCTGCTCTTCGGGCTGGTATTGATAAACTCGTCGATGCTGTCGGTCTCACTCTTGGTCCTCGGGGTAATTCGTGGAATCATACTTCTACTGGTTATTTTTGCAATTATAGCTAGAGTTTTTGAATCTTTGTGAAAATGGATTTTGTTTTTGCTTCTACGTTTTCTTTTGCAAGATAGTATCCTGACGAAGCAAAAAATAGCTGACATTAATGATATATCACAATCTTTTAGTATAAGGTTGATGCTTATTATTAATTTGTCACTTCGTTGACCATATAACCAAAGTAATAAAATCTTTTAAAAAACTATGCTTCCCTGGATGAGTTATACTTAGTTTTCAGTAATGTAAAGCATTATGTAGAGAGGGTAAACTTTGATAACTGTCTTCTTTCACAGGAACTCTAGGCTAGAACACAGAACGTACTCCATCTGACGAATCTGAAACTCAAGGCTGGAACAATGAAGCTGGAGCTTCAGGTTGGAACAAGGGTCCTACTCGGGCTCCAAATGAAGCTGGAACTCCTGGCTGGCAGTAGGGTGAAAGAAAGGCAGGTCATTTTAACATATTGGTTGTAAATTCTAATTAGATTTGTGGATGTTCAGTGAATCACGTAGGCAGGCCTTAATGACATGTTATGTTTTCGACTTGAAAAGTTGCACGAGATGGATGGGTGGGTGGGTGGGTGACTTCAAATTATTTTTGGTTGAATTTCTATTATCGATATTTTAATTATTGCTTAGTGTTTCTTTTTGGAGTTCTCTTCCATGCTTTGTTGGTGTTGGAAATTTAAGCATATGTTTGGCTGATTAATCCATTCATATTTTCCGCATGACAAAGATCTGAAAGCATTAGACAAACAAATAGATGCAACAGATGATGATTGTACGGATGTATTTTAATTATTGCTTAGTGTTTCTTTTTGGAGTTCTCTTCCATGCTTTGTTGGTGTTGGAAATTTAAGCATATGTTTGGCTGATTAATCCATTCATATTTTCCGCAGGACAGATCTGAAAGCATTAGACAAACAAATAGATGCAACAGATGATGATTGTACGGATGAACATTTATTCTTCCCAAACTTCTGTGGAGGTATCTTTGTTCTTTGTTTTATTTTTTATATAACCATTTCGAAAGATAAGTTCTCTGTTGATTTCGTTGAAGTTTTCTTTATTTCTTCGTACTCTTTGGATGTTTCTATATTCTATGAGTGATATCATATGTAAATTTACTTTGTTAAATTAAATTCATTTTGCTGTTCTCATTCAATGCATGTATCTCCCTTTAATCCTTCACATTCTACGATGACATTACCTTAAAAACAACAGAGCCCGTGCATCGCACGGGCCAAAGCTAGTATTAAAAGAAGAAGGGTAAAATCGCCATGCCACGTTTTTGGCTCATCTTCCCTCAAGAACAAAACAAACGCACGGTTACCTTTGAAAATCTCAATTGTTCACGTCTATCTCGCGGCCATCCCCTGCCTCCTTCTCTTCTCATCTCATTTTGCTCAATTTCTCATGGGCTCTTCTTTGCACATTGTGGAGGTTAAAGTGAGAGGATAATTCGTTGATTGTGGGTTGGGGTTTTTTTTTTCTTCAGTTCATGTGCGTGTTTTGAGTAATTGAGGGTTCCTTGCTATTTTTCATGGTGTTTATTGTTATTTCACAGGTATATACTCATGAGTAGTGAATTGTCCACTTACAAAACCTGTTTTGTTGCTGAATATTTGATTTTGCCTATTTTAAATGTAAAGTTGTTTGTGAATTGATATAATTGCTGAGTTTTTCCGTTGATGTTTCGTTGAACAGTTATATTTGCTGTGCATTTATTGTTGTCTCAATTGTTGTGTTTGAGTTGCTGTGTTTAAATTCTAGTTTGATGAGCATTTGAGTTACTGTGGTTGAAACGTGTTGCTTATAGGAGATGACAGGGACCTATTCTATGAATACAAACAGGTTGGGTGGTTTACACACAGACATTCAAAGATAGGGGTGTTTTGCGCAAAACTCATTGAAAGGTAGGGACGTTTTACGGCAAAAAATTTGAAAGTTGGGGATGTTTTCAATTTCAGAGAAAAAAGGTATTATCGGCTATAGTTTTGAAGTAGAATTCTGGGAAAATGAGCTTTATGATTTTTGGTAGCAATTTACTGTGGAGAGTTACGAGGATGAGAATGGGCATGAAAGCCGCAGCTGGAAAATAGAAAATGCATCGGGTGATTATGAACAGTGGACGAGAAACAATAAACTCACTCTATTTCAGAAACAATTACGGTTTGCACACTCCATTTCAGATTCAAGAACATAAAACATAAGATTGTTTCGTTGTGTTTGCTTCATTTGTTTGATTAATCTCGGTGCTTTCTAATTTTATATATTAACGATTCGTATTTTTTTTTTAAATTTGTGGAATAACCTTTTTATGGTGGGAAGAAGAGCAAAAAAAAAAGTGACAAACATTTTACCCTTCCTCTTTTAAAATAAAAGTGAGTCCAAGTGTATATTTAATGGTGGAATTCACAACATATGGACGGAAGGGCGTTTTTCACAATTAAAAGTGGAAATAGAGGTGAAAATGCAAAAAATGAAACGTAGGGACATTTTGCACAATGAATACCAAAAGTAGTGTGCTAAGAACCCCATATAGAAATATCTTGAACTTACAGTTGGCCATTTGTGTGTTTTTCAAATATAAAATGCATTTTCTTACCAAGGATTTGATAATTTTCATAATAATCCCCTAGACAAGTGTTACTCATATAAATAATCGTAAAAATAAATGCTACGTGGCAAGCGGATGAGCCCACAAGTGGCATAGTAACGGGCGACCCTTTATATGCCGAAAACATCCCAATCTGAACACTGCTCGTTCGATCCTCGTTGGCGGAGGTGTCAGCTTGTTCCTGATGAGGTGGTAAGTCAACCAACAGCAGACTTAATGAAATGATTGACAAGACAATACCCTGCCAGTGCCGTCTCTACACACCTATGCAGTCAATTCCTGTTAGGGGAAAAGATAAGGGGATCTATGCATTAATGGCTTGATTGATTGATTGACTCTAATAAGGACCATTGGATCTTTTACCATCGAACGGGCCCTGTTGACTCAACGTGAGATATAAAAAGCCTAAACACCATACGTTAGAGGGACAATGCAAATTTATACGATAAAAGTAAACCTTAATTCTCTCCACTACCCTAAAAAGGCCGACCCCCTTTTTATGCACCATACAACCTAAAATAACAACCTACAAAGAGCTATAAACCATTCACTATGTTGATTCATCAACGTGGCTAGTAGCTGGATGCGAGCATATGGCGATTCGATCTACAAGAACTTGAGTTTCTAATTTTTTGTTGGCCATGTCATAGGACTATTTTTTTGGGTCAACAGATTGGCGTTGTCTGTGGGAAACTTTGACACCATAACCATACACATCCTAGTGGTAAAAGATGTGGGTAAAAAGCCTTGAAGAAAGGCTTTGGTTCTTGAACAAAGAACTACCTTGAGAAAATGATCCAAGAAGCTCAATGAGTTCGAGTCATCAAGGAACACATGGAGGGAATATTCGGCAGGATGCCTCTGAAGAAGAGGTTCTCCGCACGAATGTAAACATTCATCGCCATAGAAGAGGTGGCACGACTGCGCGCTTAGCACGAGAAGTTGGGGAAATGACTGCAAACATGATAAATATGGCCCAGTAAAATGCACCCATGCAACAACTACTAATGCAGATGCAACAACAAGCTGGATCCCAAGTGCCTCAACATATGACTTTTCGCTAGGAGGATGAAGAAAATGACATAGCAGCGTATCCACAAATGTATGGGATGAACAACCCAATGGAAAGGGAAGTGGGAGTTGACACAACCACCAACTATATTACGAGCCACCATGGAAATGTCCCCATGGAAGAGCACTTTCTCCTAGAATACCCTCGAGAACACGAGCTTGAAAGGTCTGCCAGCGTCTTGGACAGGATTGGACCCATGAGGCCTAGGAATAGGCCCCAACAGCCTCTCCCTACTCAGGGTATGAACCTCAAGGGCTGCCACCACAGAATAGAAATAGGCAGGAAAGGAGGGACGCAGCAAATGCGATGAATCAGGCGGGAACGTTGCACCCTCGTTATCAAGCCGAAGGGGACGATTCCAATGGCCCTTGCAGATCGTTCGAACTGGATGATGATGATGAAAGTTTGCCATTTTCCCAAGAACTGCGACGAACTCCGATCCCTAGCCACTTTGTGCCACCAAATACCTAAATATAAATGGAGAGGCGATCCCATAAAACACCTCAACAGTTACAAGACTCAAATGTCTCTGCGAGAAGCCTCTCCCGCACTAAAGTGCCGAGTTTTTCACTTCACGCTAGCAGGGGCTGCTGAAATTTGGTACAG